CTTTTATTAGGTAGGATTTTTGCTTTGGTTTCCTATACTGTTGGTGTCATATCTAATACAATTGACAAATCCAATGTCGTGAAGCTTTTCCCTATGTTATCTTCTAGGAGTTTTATAGTTTTCAGTTTTAAATTTATATCTTTAATATATTTTGAGTTAATTTTTATATATGGCTCAAGGTTCCAATTTAATGCTTTTGTGAATGAATAACCCATTTTCCCAATATGATTTGTTGTTCTTTCACCATTTTCGGGACTTGATGAGATTATTTGATCTTATAGGTGAGAGTTAATTCTGAAGATGGTGAAGGAGCCTGCTTATATAGTAAGAAACAACACAACACATTCAATAAAGACTTCTTCAGAGAAAATACCACAGGCCCTTCCATGTGGCCTCCATATCACATACGATTAGTGTCAGCTCTGAGAAACTGACTCTCCTGTGTAAGGGGCGACATGCTAACCTGGCAAGTTCAGGGAAGGCCTGCATGGCAGTCTTGCAAACTCAGAGACCTCCAGTAACCACAGAGGATGGTCCGAAATTAAAGTTTAACTAAAATCGGTTATAGTGGGTAGTTATGACCTAGGCCGGTATCTTCACTGACAAGGTCAACCTTTACCTTAAGTGAATCTGTCTTTTAGAATCTATAATAATATATCTTGAAATGTCTGCATAACTTGTAATTCCTTTTTTCCAAACCCTTTGGGGCATAACCTAATGTGTCTGGTCACCAGGACAGATACCCCCAATTTCTTCATTGTTATCAGGTTAATTGTTCCTGTAACCACCTAAGTATGTGTCTTATCATTTTACTTCTTATCCAATCCCAGACGTTTCCACCTCCCACGTACCCCCCTCCCCCATCCCACCCGCTTTGCTTTCTCCCCATCTCTAATCTATCACCAGTGGATTTCATGTGACTCACCTACGTCCCTCCTTTGATTTTAATGTATAAAAATAGATGTAAGACTGCCATTCTCCAAAGCACTATCCCAATCCATTGAGATATTGCTTCCTGGCAGTTGTTGACAGTTTGGCTCAAATAAACTCATAAAAATTCTTTACAGGCTTGAATTTTTTTTACATTAACACCCACCTTCATGTTTTTAAGAAAACAACTGCCCCATGAAAAAGAGCATCTCTGTGGGGCTCACATCTGCATCTGAGTCTCACTGTGGTGAGTCTGCTTGGCAGAATGTAAGTCACATTGTGACCAGAAAGGAGACCTGGCCCTGAGTGCGTCTGCCTAGTGCCTGGCGGTAGTGGGTAGTGTGTGGGTTCTTGACTTCATGCAGGAAAAGTTTCACAACATGAGTGCAAGTGAATTTTAGAGAATGTTTATTAGAGCTGGGAAGTGAATAAGAAAGGGCTGGGGAAATGAGCACAGGCTGGGCTGATTTGGTTCCCTAAGAAGTCAGAGAAATGGGGGCCTAGGGAACAGGTTCAGGGAATTTCCCTGGATGAACTGCTACTCCCAGTTGCTGCTTTAGTTGCAAGCCTTGTGGGTTCCCTTAGAGATGAGGAGATGCCTGCCTGTGGGGAAAGATGGTGAAGGGCAGGTGCGGGCATGCTCCTGGGAGGGAAGCTTGACCTTTGTTTTGAGGGGTTTTAAAGTCTGAGCATTTAGGGGAGGTGATAGGGAGGATCTCATTAGAATATTCACCAGCTTCCTGTTGATGTATATATTTATCTTTATTGTTAATATTACAGCTATCTCCCTTTTTTCCCATTGACCCCCTCCATACCTTCCTGTCCCCACCCACCCAGTTGACATATTTTTATTGCTAAACAACTCTTAAGAAATAATAGGTACATGCTTTTGTCAAAGATAACTCTAAAAATAAGGCTCTTGAACCTTATTCTCTACAATGAGTAAAAGTAACATCATAAAAACTACAAGGGAGTTTGAATCTAAGGGAATTCATACATCATGGTCTTAGAATGAAATAGAAGATTGTGGTTCTGGTTAGTTATATTTTGACCTAACTATTACATTTTTTAAAAACAACTATTATAAATGATATTGTTTTTTTAATATTTGTTGTCCAATACTTTATTGCTTTTATATAAAAATACAGTTAAAAGTGGATTTTTGTGAATTGACCTTAAATCTTCAACTTTGTTAAACTCATGCATTTGTGCCAAGAGTTTATGTTGCTGTTTTTGGCTTTTTTGTTGTAGATTCCCTGGGATTTATCTATGTGCATAGTCATTGCATGTGAGAATAAAGGCAGTTTTATTTTTTCCTTTCCTTTTTTCCCCGCTTCTTTCCTCCCTCCCTCCCTCCCTCTATCCCTCCCTCCCTCTATCCCTCCCTTCCCTTCTTTCTTTCTTTCTTTTGCCATATTGTAGGAAGCCTTCATCATTCTGTTTTCTGGAGAGGAGAGATTGCATATTCCTGCTTTATTCCTGAGTTAAGGGCAAAGCATTCCATTTATTATCATTAAGTATGTATGTTAACTGAAGGATTTTTTTTAAGATTTCTTTTATCAACTTAAAGAGGGTCATTTTCTCAAGTTGTGACATTTTTCAAGTTTCTTCAACTGCTTGAGTTTTGCCTTGGGTAGAGTTGACCAGGGAATCTCTTTTCCCTAGGTCATTAGCTTATGGTACATTTATTCCTATTTCTTCTTGCCATGTTATTCTTGAGCGTCTCTATTTCTCTCTGAAGTTGTCTGCTCTCATTGTGGAATCCTTCCTTTAGTAATAAGGCCTGTTCCTAAAAAGGGACAAATAAAGAGTAAATAAAGCACAGCAGTAAGCAAATCTCAACTTCTAGCTAGTTTCCACATTCATAGTTCTTCTTTTTTTTTTTTTTTTGAGTATTTAATTTCTTCTTGAAAGTTTCTCTACCATAAATATTCCTTAAAAGAGGCATGGTGCATTGAATCTAAGCACAGGTGCGGTTGGTTCCTATGCTTGGCCAGCAATTGAAGCAAAGGATCTGGTGTGGAAGGGCAGGTCCCAGCTGACCTCTGGGTCCTGGGCAGCACCTGGGCCTCTGCATAACCCCTCCTTCTGAGTCATCAGGCCCCACCAGGCTACCTCAGTGGCATTGGTCGCTACCTGGACTGGTGGGGCTATGGGGCCCCGCTCACACTCAACTTGGCCTGGCGCTGCCCATTTACCTGGTCCACCATCCTGCCACAGTCCCAATCTCATTGGGGCCAATCAGGGCCAGCAGCATCTCCGCTGCCACCCTCTGCCAGCTCTGAGTCACAGACTCTCGTCATGTTCCTCACTGCCCCAAGGTGGTCAGTGCACATCACAGTGGGCAGTCGAACTCCCAATAGAGGGGAAATTTGCATATCAGGCTTTTATTGTATAGTATACTTTCACTTGGACATCCTAGCTCCATGATTGCTTATCTTGAGCTTCCTTTAGATAAGAGATATTTTGGCTTATACCTTTTAATATTTTGATAAACTTAAATTATAAGTTTAATTAATTCTATACAACCTATGTTTATCTTAATTATGTTTCTTTTCAAATCTTATTGACCCATATACATATATATAAAAATTTTTGATATATATATATATCAGACTTTCATATACATACACATGACAGAAATAAAATTTCTCAAAATCAAAGGAAGTGCCTGAAACTTAGATTAGGGAATTTGACTTAAGCCTCCACAGCTTGGTGGCAAGAGTAGCAGGATATAAATTAAGACATCAAGGCCCCTAACTGTCCACATTGGATTTCTGCATAAAACTCACTACACAAATTAGGAGTAGGGCATAGCAAACAGGCAAGAGTGGCAGACACAGGAGTGAGAGGCAAAGAGTCTTTCTGCTCATAAAGGTTCTCTGAGAACCAAAGTCACACCAGGTGTGACAGAAAAACAGTGATTGTAGATTCCCTTAAGTCTGAAGGTGGTTCAGATATCTTAATGATCTGTATGACCCTGTAAAAGCTCATCTTTTCTGAACCTCTGTTTCTTCTAAGAAACAGCAATTCTTGCTTCAAATAATATTCAGCAAGAGATACAGATAAGATATATTTACAATGCCTGAAATATAATAGCTACCATTGATTGAATAATCTTATATAATAAAAGGGTAATATGCAAATTGTCCCATGGAAGTACAGACACTCACCATGATGTGCGCTGACCATCAGTGGAAGCCCAGCTGTAAGTTGGGAGCCAGAGGAAGGAAAGCTCCATCCAGCAGCTGGCAAATGGGGAAAGTTTGTTGCTGAGGCAGCCAGAGGGAGGCCCTGATTGGCCCTGATTGCCAGCTAAGCTGAGGGACCCTAGCCATGCACAAAATTTTGTGCATCAGTCCTCTTATCTATATATGTAAAAGCCTAAATGACCATTGAACAATTTGACTGTTTGACTGGTAGCTATGACTTGCACTGACCATCAGAGGGCAGCTGCTCAATGCACAGGCATGAAAACATGGAGCAGACTGATGAATCTCAGAAGAAGGATGGGACAGGGGAGATTGAGAAGATATTAAAGAAAGATCTTATGTACATACTAGAGGCCTGGTGCATGGATTTCTGCACTGGTGGGGTGCCTTGGCCTGGCCTGTTGGGATTTGGCCAAAATCATTGTTCTGACATTCCCCGACAGGTCCTAAATTATGAGATAACACAGGTCAGGCCAAGGGACCAAAACATTTCATGAATCCATGCACTGGACCTGTAGTTTACTGATACAGGACTGGATTTGAGATAAACGATAATAAAAAAATTTTAATAACCAGGTATACGCAGGCTTCAAATCAAGGAGACAGATAGAGTTGGAAAGATACAAGTGGGCAAGCAAGATCCTTAGGATTTTCCTATTCTAATAGACACACAAACAAGTCTGGGAGAGTGGACAGAAAACAGAAAAAGAGAAACCTCAAGGTGACGCCATTATATACCTTAAGTTTAAGAGCCATAGTCCTCTCTTGCTCTGCCATTAATTGGGCCCTCTCCTGCTCCATCTTCTCAGTCAGTTGTTTCACATGTTCCTGATAACTCTTTTCTTTCTCCTCCATCACCTGCTGATTCTTCTTTTGCATTTCCTCCAGCATTTTTGCTGCAGCCTCTGCAGATTCAGCTTTCACACGTTGCACTGCCAAAAAGAAAGGAAGAAGACAAATTCATGTGGGTGACCACCTCTCTGTTTCTTCTTTATGAACTCATCTGAGATTGTTGCTGCTGAGTGCATTTGCCCACGGAAACTGACTTAGGCTAGTAGTAGGCATCTTTGCTCATCTGGCTTTAGTTTAAGGACCCGAGGTTCTCCAAGCCAAATTATTTAAACTTTTAAAAGTTGTTGAGGCTACCTAGTCTCTTGACTTGCTCCTCACCTTCAATCTCCTTTTCCTTTTCTGTGAGAGTCTGGTCTGTCTGTAGAATTGCATCAATCACAGATTCCTTGGACATGAGGTATGTTTGAAGAACTTCTTCACTCTAAGACCCCGATAAAATGGCATTAGTTATAGGAAATCACTGGAAGCGCTTATTCTTATTTGCCCAGCATTTCTTATTGTAGGAAGCACTTCACTTGGCCCTGTTCCTTGTGCTGGTCAAGGTGCCCCTTTCACTGGGTGTGCACATGCTCCACATTGGCCAACCCTGGTACCCGATGAAGCAGAATCCTTTGTAAGAAATTGGTATAAATATAGATTCAGAGTGTCTCTTCTCATGTGAAGGCTTTATTTTTTGAGCTGTTGGTGCTGTGATTTTATATGGAGTGAGGATGAAGCCATCATGGAGAGAGCCGATCCAAGGAAAGGAGGTTGATGGAGACTAGGTAGAAGGCTAGTATGGGGTTGAAGGGAGGAACAGAGAGACAGATAAATGTTGGTTACCTGTATTCCCTTCTTGGGTTCCTGAAGATACTTTTTCTTGAGCTCATGCACAGTCTGCATTAAGAGATGATATCCTCCTGGTTTAGAATAAACCCCCTGCTTTATATCTTCTTCTAAAGAATGGAAGATATCCTTAAGTAAAGCTGAGCAGCGATCCGATGATGCTTTTATATTCTCTTTATAAAAGTCATCCCGCCTTTTTTCTAGCTGGGCCTTTAATGTGAAAATAGGAAGTAGAAAGAGTACAGAGGAAATGTTAGCTCAACCTCAGGATTTTTGGAAAGGCTTCTCTAAAACCAGTCTGTGATCCTGCAAAAACTTACAGGCACCTTTGCAGGACTACATCCTTTCTCCTGATCCTGTCTTTCTACTGAAGTTCCTTTCTCCTTGGAGGTGAAGTTCATGGTTGAGATTGCTAGCTTTATGTTAGCATTTATGTTACCGATCTGGGGGTCATAGGGGGCCATGGCCTTTTGCACTGCAGCGGAGTTCTCTATCTGGGCCGAGGCCAGGACTGCATTCCCCATGCAGGGCAGGGCCGCACTGCTGATGGCATCGACATAGGTCAGGACTAGATTCTCTATTCCTACACATACACCTTTGGAAAGAAACTTCTGCTTTCAGATTGGAACAGCAATTGCAAATGGAATCAATGTCACTCAATGTAAGCCTGCTCAATGTAACTAAGACTACATCTTTTTTTCTTTTCTTTTCTTTTCTTTTGGCTATAACAGTGGTCAGCAAACTCATTAGTCAACAGAGCCAAACATCAATGGTACAACGATTGAAATTTCTTTTGAGAGCTAAATTTTAAACTTAAAGTATATAGGTAGATACATTGTTATTCACTTAATTAGGGTACTCCTTCAATGGCACTGTTTCTGCCCGCCAGCACGTGGTATTTTCTGGAAGAACCACACTCAAGAGGCCAAAGAGCTGCATGTGGCTCGAGAGCCACAATTTGATGACCACTGCCCTAATACATATAAACATAAGAAAAAAAATTACCGCTAAATCCTTTTGAAATAAATTGTCTATATCCTTGAAGGAATTCTTGATGAAGACTTCAATGGCCTCTTTCTCACTGGCCATGTGCAGGTCCAGGAGCTCTTGGAGGGTTTCTGTGGGCAGTTCAACCTTCTTCCCCATCTGCTGGTCATAGTGGGCAATGGCCTTTTTCACTGCAGCCGAGTTCTCTATCTGGGCCAAGGCCAGGACTGCGTTCTCCATGCAGGGCAGGTCTCCACTGCTGATGGCATCGACATAGGTCATCACCAGAGTCTCCAGCCCTACAAATAGAGAACAAAAGATGACATTTGTTGTAGGTGAGGTGAGAAAACAGTCCATCTTCTTTACATCTGGTGATAATGTGTCAATACTCATTTGGTCACAGCATCAATGTCCTCAGCGTCCTAGAAATTCGTTAAAAATGCAGATTCTCAGCCTCTGCTCCAGATGAACTGAATGAAATCCTCCTCAGGTAAGATCTTGGGTGATATGGATCCACATCAAAGGGTGAAAACCTCTGTTTTAGGCCCTATACACCTGTTTATTGAGGGCATGTGCTTTACCCCTACATACCTTTATGACAGGAAATTTACCGCTCATTCATGTCTCTATAATCAGTTCTGGTCCGTGGTAAGTAATTATAAAATGAGTATTTGTGAAACAATTAAAAAGAACTCCTCTGCCCTGGCCAGGTGGCTCAGTTGGTTGGAGCATCGTCCCATGCTCCAAAAAGTTGTGGATGTGATTCTTGGTCAGGGCACACACCTAGGTTCAATCCCAGTTGGGGCACATGCAGGAGGCAACTGATTAATGTTTCTCTCTCACATTGATGTTTCTCTCTCTTAAATTCATGGGAAAACTTCCTTGGGTGAAGATTAAAAAACTAAAAATAAATTTTAAAATGAGTCCTCCATTTTATTCATTCTGGAAAAACATTTTCCAAAAGAACTTTCTTTGATGATGGTCCTGTGTTATTTTGCTAACCAGTATGGCAACCCCTAGACATGTAATTAGAAATGTTAATATTCTTTAATATAAAATTATTCTATAAGTAAGTTTAGTTATATGTAGCTACTACACTTGTCTAGTCACTATTATATGGAATAGTACAGGTCCAGGTTATTAGGGCAATTTTAAGCAATAGAGCTTTTTTTATTTGTCCTTTTCTATCAATTCTCAACCACAAAGTCTGTCTAATAAAATCTATTAGAAATGTGTCATCCAGAATGTACCACAGAAATAATAGTATATTTGCATTTTTCAAGTCTGAAACTAGGCGGATGCTATTCCACCTTCCTTTAGCCTTAACAGTGAGAGTAATGACTGGGAAGAGGACTCACGGGGTCCATTGACCTGGATGCCTCCTGAAAGAGTTTTGACTTTGGAATTGGTAAAGATGTAGGAACAGAAGTCAGCAGCTTGTTGCACGAATTCGGGGTCCAGCTCATCATCATGCATTGTCTCAAGTTGGCCTAGCTTCTTCCGATGAGTGGGCCGATCAAAGATAAAGCATTTCTTCTTTGGGAAGAACTTTCGGATACAGAGTCGGGGCAGGTTAAACTTTTCATCTTTAGGACTGGTACCTGTAGAAAGATTAAAAAAAAAGAAGGGGGCTTTGTATAATATAGGGGCTTGGAAACATTTTCTGTAATTGGTCAAGTGGAAAATATATTAGGCTTTGAGGTCAAGTGGTTTCTTTCCCAAGTATTCTGCTATTATAGCATGAAAGCAGCTATGGACCATCTACATAGTATTCACCCAGTAAAACCTAATTGTAGGATAACTGACGGGCTGCATTGGTCATCATTTGCCTGTGGGCCATAGTTTGCCAACCCCTGGCCTAGCACATTGTTATGTTTAATCTATTTTCTTTAAATAAATGCTCATTCTACTCTATATTCTTTCATTAATTACAGCATCACAAGCCCTAAGTAGGGAGATAAAAATCAATCTGGTCACAATGCAGGAAAAGGTGAAAGAAAAAGAAACTTGTTCTTAGAACAGGGGACAAGATGATTCAAAATTAAATCTATTAACTTAGATATTAAACAAGTATTAATTATTAGAACTAGGCAGCTATGAAGTAGAAAACTATACATGTAAAAACACTAAATAGAAACATAAAAAATGATGGTTTCTAATGGCTTGTGGTTCCCAATAATCAGTTCTAAGCCCACTTTACCTTGTTTGAGTTTGAGTGAATTCTTTAGGTACTCGTCTGCTGAGATGGGTTGCCCATTTACTTCCAATTCTAAGGAAAAATCCCTCAGTGTCCACACAAAATCTGGGAAGAAGCTCACAAAGTCAGCGGAGTCCTCAACCTCATTTGCCTCAGGTGAAGATTTTGCCCTTATTTTATCTGTCAGTTCTGTCACATAGCTGAGTAGCAAACTAAGGAAAAACATTGTAGGGAAACAGTGTCCCTCATGTCATATTAGTCCCACGTATTCTAAACTTTGTTTTTGCTTTGTTTCTAATCCAATTGTTAATTCTTGCTGCCCTTGAATTATTTTTTATACGTTCTCTTTTGGTGCTTGATTCACCAGGGTTCACATTCAGCGAGCTGGTTTTTAAGTACAGGCCTTCCCTCTGACCTTGATACTGTTCTGGACCACAAAAAGGATACTGCAGTTGGTCCATGGCCTGCTGGTTTATGGTCCCCATGCTGTTGTACACAAAGGTGCTGCTCAGCAGTATTGCCAGGGCAAAGATCCAGGAGTCATTTTGGTTGTCACCCTGGAAATCAACACATTTGGGCCAGGATTATGATTTATTCTCATGGCATTTTCCAGAGCAGCAGTAGTAAAGGGATGCTTGTTTAATCGAATGGCTCTTTTTAGATTAATGACTTTTAAGAGGAAAACAAATCCTAATGAAAATGGTTGTTAGTAGGACTTGGTCTTTGAATAGTCTTCTGATTAATATTTTTGGTGATATGTATTCTTACCAGGTCCTCTTATAACCATTGGCAGATAATTGCAAAACAAATAGTTCAGATTGGTGGGCACTCTAATATCTTAATTTTCTCTATGTTTTTATAGCAAAATTGACTTATGTAAGAGTAATAATACTGATAGCTATTTTATCTAGTTATTATTATTCACCTCACACTTTCCATTCTTATTAAATAGTCAAAACAATAGTATTAGGCAAATATAGACCTTTTGCATCGGTTTTACAGATCATACAGCCGAGGTTAAAAGAGGTGAAATAATTTGCTAAGGCCACTGTGTTAATGGCAGTTTAAATTTAAACAACAGTTTAGGACTTCTGAACATTAATCCTTAACTAAAGTTTCTGTAGGATAAGACTCATGGCTGATTTTGTTTGTAGATAGTACCTTTAGGAATCTGCATTAACTGGATTAGCTTATAGCCTTTTGTTAATAATTAAAATATTATCTAATGACCACTATGCTCTTCTAGGATTCTGCTTTATATTTTCTTCATCCCTGATAGAAAAACTTCGTCAATAACATGTAAACAGAAATGAGAAAAACACGTATGGTTTAATTCAAGCTCTTATTTGAATAAAAATTAAATAGTGTAGAAAATACCCAAAAGTGAGGGGATGTACTCAAATTGAACCTTCAATAGTTACCTTCTCTACATCTCCCAGCCCCTCAGTGTCAAGCAGAACTAGGGTGTAGTTTGGTTCCTTAGGGTGAGGCACACACCACATCCAGATGCCTTTGGTGTGAGACTGAACTGTGGAGCCCAGAGAGAAGCCTCAGGGGGACAGGAGAAAATATAGAAAGTTGAGTTTTAATAGCAGATGTGTCTTAAAATGGTGATACAAGTTAATTTAATCAAGGTAAGGAGAGAGAAAAAACTACAACCAGTAGCCTGGATGGCATTGGCTCAGTGGTTGAGCGTTGACATATGAACTAGGTGGTCATGGTTTGATTGCTAATCAGGGCACATGCCCTAGTTATTGGCTCCATCCCCAGTAGGGGGGTGTGCAGGAGGCAGCCGATCAATGATTCTGTCTCATCATTGATATTTCTATCTCTCTTTTCCCTCTCCCTTTCTCTCTGATATCAATAAAAAACAAATTTTAAAAACAACTACAAACAGTATTAATTTACAGAGAAACAGAGAAATTAAAATATATAATACCCCAAAACATTCAACACCTTTTATTATAAAAACAATTAACCAATTCAGACCAGAAGAAAACTAACTCAACATAATAAAGGCCATATTAAAAGCCTTCAGTGAACATCTCACTCAATGGAAAGCTTTCCTTCTATAACAATTAACCAAATAGTTCAAAGACATACATATAAAAGCTAAAGCTGTAAAACTCCCAGAAGAAAACATAGGGTGAAAGCTTCATGATATTGAATTTGTCAATGATTTCTTAGATATGACACCAAAAGCATATACAACAAAAGAAAAATAGATTAGTTGGACTTTAAAATTAAAGTTTTTGTGGATCAAAGGATACTATCAACAGAGTTAAACAGGTATCCTATTTAATGGAGGAAAAAATTTCTTAGTTAAGGGATGGATATCTAGAATAATAAAGAAGTTCTACAATGCAGCCCAAGGAAACAAATAACCCAATTAAAAGATGATCAAAAGAGTTACTTGAACAGATATTTCCTTAAAGAAAATATACAATAAGCAATGAACATATAAAAAATGATTAATATTGCTAATAATTAGAGAAATACAAACCAAAACCACAATGAGACACTATTTCACACCCATTAAGATTATCACTACCAAAAAATAAATAAAAAATAACAGGCGAAAAATTAGAATTCTGTGCATTTCTTGGAGAATTGTAACTTGCTGCATTTGCAGTGGAAAATAATATGGTGATTCTTTAAAAAGTTAACTACAGAATTCTAGGAAAAGAATACAAATTATGCTTTTAAAAGGAAAATTAAGGAAAGTGAGAAGAGACAGTGAGTTGACTCTTTCAGATCATAGTAAAAATAAGAGGATAACTTTGGATAAAAAGTTAGCTTTCAGTATCCCTCCCCATCTCTATCTCGCTCTTCCTGTAACACCATACTCAAAGCTGGGAGTGTGGGTGGAGAGAAGGGATCTGGCAGAGCTTAGCTGGTGCTCCTTACCTTTTTTCTGCCCAGCCAACTTGTTCATCAGGTAGGATTTGCCTGTGCGGTAGAGACCCACAATGGCCACCACCACCACAGGCTGTGTAATGGCAGACAGGATCTTCAAAGCTTTTGGGTTAACCACTAGTTGTGTGTCAGTGTTCTCAATGAGGCACACTGGGCCTGGCATGTGCATGTCTGAGGCCATGTCCAGGGTGTCACCTTATCTGCAAGCAAGGAGATGGGATGGATTAGAATTTCCATTCTACGTAGATCAAGAACTTTCACCAGGTTATTTTGCATTCAGAAGGTGGAATCATAAAATTTCCCAACATGGCCAAAAGTTTTGTGTCCATAGTGACATAGATAAGGGGAAGATCTGTAGTATTTTAGAATGTGACAGAAGTTCAACTGAAATATAGTTCATTATAAAGAGATTGGAGCCCAGCCAGTATGTCAAAGTGGTTGAGCATCAGCCCATAAACCAGGAGATTATGGTTCAATTCTTGGTCAGGGCACATGCTCGCATTGCAGGCTTAATCCCCAATAGGATCCATGCAGGAGGCAGCTGATCAATGATTCTCATTATTGATGTTTATCTCTCTCACCCTCTCCTTTTCTCTTTAAAAGTAATAAAAATACATTAAAAATTAGTATGTCAAGGATATCAACATTTAACCACTTTCATGAACAAAATATTTAATTTACCATAGAAAACTTTCTTTTTAGATTCTTATTAAAATTTCTAAACGAGAGCCCAGCTGGTGTGCCTCAGTAGTTGAGCATTAGCTCATGAACCAGGAAGTCACAGCTAAATACCTGTTTAGGGCACATGGTAGGGTTATGGGCTTGATTCCCAGAAGGGGGTACACAGGAGGCAGCTGATTGATGTTTCTCATTACTGATGTTTTCATCTCTTTCCCCCTCCAGTCATCTCCCTAAAATCAATAAAAATATATTTAAAACATTTTTTTAGACTAGACAGTAAATGTAAAGTAGAATAGGATTTGGAGGGTAGTTTACATCTGGCTATATGTAAGAATTTCAGTATTTATTCATTAATTCTACTATGAATAAAGACTTTTGTGAGTATATGTTTCATCATTTGATATATGCTTTTTGGACAATTTTCACAGATTTCTTGTCAATTCTCACCTGAGGATATTTTTTTCTACTAATTTTTTAAGAGAGTGAGAGGGAAGGAGGGAGGGAGGAAGGAACAGGGCGGGGGGGGGAGGGAGAGAGAGAGAGAGTGAAGTTGATGTGAGAGAGACACATTGATTGGTTGCCTCCAGCATATGCCCTCACCAAAACCTTCAGTCTGTGGACCGATGCTCTAACCACTGAGAAAAACTGGGTAGGGCATTTTTCACAGGTTTAAAATGTGTGTTTTCAACTAGTTGTATTTATTTTGCTAAAGTGAGGGTTCACAGAACTATTTATACTGCTATTCTGAAAGTAGAACCAATATAACTTACATTTGCAAATTTTATAAACATTTATGACTGTAGAAAA